CCCAAAGTGCTGGGATTACAGGCATAAGCCACCACGTCTAGCCGATTTTTTTTTTTTTGAGAAGGAGTTTAGCTCTTGTTGCCCAGGCTGGAATGCAATTACGCGATCTTGGCTCGCCGCAACCACTGCCTCCTAGGTTCAAGTGATTCTCCTGTCTCAGCCTCCCAAGTAGCTGGGATTACAGGCATGCACCACCACGCCCAGCTAATTTTGTATTTTTAGTAGAGAGGGGGTTTCTCCATGTTGGTCAAGCTGATCTCAAACTCCTAACCTTACGAGATCCACCTGCCTTGGCCTCCCAAAGTGCTGGCATTATAGGTGTGAGCTGCCATGCGCAGCCTATTTTCTTATTCCTTAATGAAATGGAAAACTTTTTTTCACAAAGAAGTTCATTTTTGTGAAGCAACAGACATGAATAGACACTTTATCTAAAAAGATATACCTGTTTATTTAAAAAATAAAAATTTTAAAGTCTTTTTTTTTTTTTGAGACGGAGTTTTGCTGTTGTTGCCCAGACTGGAGTGCAATGGCACGATCTCGGCTCACCGCAACCTCCGCCTTCTGGGTTCAAGCAATTCTCCTGCCTCAGCCTCCCGAGTAGCTGGGACTACAGGCACATACCATCATGCCCAGCTAATTTTTGTATTTTTAGTAGAGACGGGGTGTCACCTTGTTGACCAGGATGGTCTCGATGGCTTGACCTCGTGATCCACACGCCTCGGCCTCCCAAAGTGCTGGGATTATAGGCGTGAACCACCACGCCCGGCCGAGTCTTTTTTTTTTTTTAAAGACGGGGTTTCACCATGTTGGTCAGGCTGGTCTTGAACTCCCGATCTCAGGTGATCCACCCGTCTTGGCCTCCAAAGTGCTTGGATTACAGGCGTGAGCCACTGCGCCCGGCCTGAAAATTTAAAAGTCTAACCATACTCTCTCAATAAGAATTATCAGACACTGGTGGTAGGAATGCAAAAGGAAGCAATCGTTTTAATTTAGGTCAGTTTGGCGTTGCTTAAAAAATTTTACCTACCATGTGACTCAGGCATTACACATGGAGATATTAACAAAAGAGGAGTAAAATATATGAAGAATTATATTCAAAAGTTAGAAGCAACTCAAATATACATAAATGGATGGATTAATATGCAAACATGTTTCACAGCATGTCATATATCTAATGATATATCATCACTAATAGCAAAATAAATTATATAATAGGGAACCCAAAAATGTAAAGAGGAAATACTTTATAATATTAATCCAGAAAATACAAACTAATCTGTTTTAAAGCACACTAAACCAATGGTTGTCTGGACAGCAGAGAGAAACATCCTATAAAAAGGCTCATCTGGGCACAGTGGCTCACACCTGTAATCCCAGAACTCTGGGAGGCTAAGACAGGCAGATCACTTGAGGTCAGGAGTTTGAGACCGGCCTGGCCAACATAATGAAACCCCATCTCTAGTAAAAATACAAACGTTAGCCGGATGTGGTGGTGCACGCCTGTGGTCCCAGCCACTTTGGAGACTGAGGCAGAATCGCTTGAACCCAGGATAAGGAGGTTGCAGTGAGCCGAGATCATGCCACCGCACTTCAGCCTGGGTGACAGAGTAAGAGTCTGTCTCAAAAAATAAAATAAAATAAATAAAAGCTAGGCATGGTGGCTCAAACCTATGGTTCTAGCTATTCAGGAGACTGAGGTGGGAGGATTGCTTGAGCCCAGCAATGTCAGGTTACGGTGAGCTATGATCGTGCTGCACTCCAGTCAGGTGACAAAGTGAGACCCCAACTCTTTTTTTTTTTTAAGACGGGGTTTCACCATGTTGGTCAGGCTGGTCTTGAACTCCGGACCTCAGGTGATCCACCTGCCTTGAACTCCAAAGTGCTTGGATTACAGGCATGAGCCACCATGCCCGCCCTGACCCCAACTCTTAAAAAATAAAAAATAGGCTGGGTGCAGTGGCTCACACCTGTAATCCCAGCACTCTGGGAGGTTAAGGCAGGTGGATAATGAGGTCAGGAGTTCAAGACCAGCCTGACCAACATAGTGAAACCCCATCTCTACTAAAAGTAAAAAATTTAGCCGGGCATGGTGGCATGCACTTGTAATCCCAGCTACTCAGGAGGCCAAGGCAGGAGAATTGCTTGAACCCAGGAGGCAGAGGTTGCAGTGAGCCAAGATCGCACCATTGTACTCCAGCCTGGGTAACAGAGTGAGATTCCGTCTCAAAAATAAAAAAATAAAAAATGAGCTGGGCTCAGTGGCTCATGGCTGTAATCCCAGAACTTGGGAGACCAAGGCAGGTGAATCACGAGGTCATGAGTTCAACATGGTGAAACGCCATCTCTAAAAAAATAAATAAAATTAAAAATTAAAAAAATATACGGTATATATAATAGGATCCAGGTTAACCTGAAGGAGATGGATAAGTTATACTTTCGTGGGCCGGGCACGGTGGCTCACGCCTGTAATCCCAGCACTTTGGGAGGCCGAGGCGGGTGGATCATAAGGTCAAGAGATCGAGACCATCCTGGTCAACATGGTGAAACCCCGTCTCTACTAAAAATACAAAAAATTAGCTGGGCATGGTGGTGCGTGCCTGTAATCCCAGCTACTCAG